TGTATGGTGATTCCCACCTCTAGTTTTTAGCCATCTAAGATGTACCATTTACTGTTATCAATGTATTTGATCTGTAATCGACGCGAGAAGGGGCGTTAAGCCTGATGTTATAAAAGCATTTTCAAGTGTATTCTTAGCAGGAGACGTGTGCTGATGTGATGCTGCATACTTCTTCTCCTGTGTGTGTTTTAATAAACTCATTGTTTGATTGCACTCTTCTGGGCCTCTGTTGGTTTGTTTCATTGCTCAACATTTATTGAATTCGGGACAACTTACTTCAATGTCTTTCCTGGTGCAAAATTCTGCTATTGGTTTGCAGTGATAGCACGATAAACTCTTTTTTTTACATCTTGCTAATCCAGTTATTTGTGATAAAGACAGAACTATTCTTCACATGCCTTCCCTTTAAAACATTGTGGTTCTGAAATTACAATAAAATTATAATAAAAGTCTCAGTACCTCAGTAGAACTTACCATTTCGGGATCATCTTCCTCCACATCCAGTGGTTTCCCTTCTTTCTTCAACTGTTTCCTTTTCTCTTTTACCTTTAGAATATAAAGAAACATCGCATTAAAAAAGTCCAGATAATGAAAGCTGAGTAACATGGAAGGAGGGGGGAGGAAGCATTAGATTTTTTGTTTTCACTGTGGAAAATACTCACCATATGCTCCACATATTCCTTTCCTGCATGAATCACATCTAAGGCTCTCTTCTTCTGCTCTGGATCCAGTAAGAGTTTGTATGCCTTGTCCACAGCTGGACATAGTATAACATTAAGGCTCGATTAAAGAGTGGTTTTAATGTAAGATTAGCAGATAACTGTATCACAGAGGCTCTAACAAAGTCAAATTGTTGTTTTCATACTTTTTATTTTAATTTGTACAAAAACAACAATGAGACAGAAACTGGTTTTTAGGTTGTTTTTTTTTTCTTTCCCCTCCAGAGTTTATAGAGTGTCCAAATAGCCAATAAATTAATTTTAATTAACTTGGAGCTGTACAAAAATACAAGCCATAAGAGATGTACGTGAGAGAATTGTTACCTTCGAACGCTTTCTGCGCTCTGTCTGGATCATCCTGATTTTTGTCTGGATGGACCAAAATGGACAACTGCCAAGTAAAAGAGATTTAAAATTAAAAACAAAAACAGCATTGCAAAGAACACGCCATGTCTGTAAAAATAAGGTTACTGAAAAGCCTCTCCTCCATAAGACTTCCTTACCGCCCGAAACCTTTTCTTCAGTTCATCATCTGTTGCCTCTGGATCAATTTGCAGAACCTGAAAGAGATTTGAAATCGACAATTGTTAATAGCGTTGGATCTCATAGCATTGATACATTGATTCATCAATGAACTCTTGGGTTCTGTTATTAGGCTTTGGAAAATTTTGTCCCTGACAGGTGACTTTGGTCAATCACAGATCCTTTCAGATTGACTGAGTGAGTAGTATGAGGAGTCAAAATTATTGCACAGAACGAAGGAAGACTGTCACTTAAAAAAAACATGATTTGATTCCTAAGATCGGTGTTCACAACTTTTAAAAGGGTACATTTTAAAATTGTTTCCTCTTCTTTGATTTAGGTCTAATAAGATACAGATATGAAAATAATAAGTAAGCATCAAGTATAAATATCAATTACATAAGATCCTAAAAGCTATACACATTATTGCAGTTCCTTTGTTAATTAGAAGTGAAGTGTGAATGAATTATTAAATATGCTACATACATACATTGATAGGTAGCATATTTAACAATGATAATAATAATTAAAAACAAAACAAAAACGACAGCATTAGTGCACTAGGTTACCTCAAAAGGGTTGAGATTGAAGTATGATGCGCCAGGTCTGAGCAGTCTGTCAATCTGCTGCTTGGAGGTTAACACAGAGTCTCGCTTCTCAATCTGCTTCACCTTTAAAAATGAATAGCAGCAAAACAAAACAGTGAAAAACTTCACAATGCAAAGCTCCTGGCAAACAAGGCTTCCGGAATACATTTTTATTTTCTTCTGAATTATGTCAGCCAGCTCCGAAGAATGAAATACGAAGAACGAGAAGGATGCTTTTAATCTTTTCAGGAAGCTATCCTCATTAAATAAATACAGGTCAACATGTACACTGACCCAGCAGCAGCTTCATAAAAGGCCCGCCAACGCAGTAACTCATATTAAGCAAGCCATAGTTTAGGTAACATGGCTTGTAGTACTAGCTGCTGATAATAATGAATAAAATAAGCCCAAATAGCGGTGTTTTTTTCGTACTAACAGAAGACTGAAGCTGCTCACAAACATCTCGTTTAACGTTAGCTTCTCGTTAGCTGATGTCAGCAGGCCTCGTAGGTGACAAACGCGGTAATCGCTCAATAACCGGCTTCAGTCGGTGCAAAGACAGCAACCGATACTTTAAAGTGAACAATCTAACTTTAAATCTGCTTTACCTCAGTGTAAAAATTTTGAAATAATTCATCCGACACATTATGCACAGAAGACTCTCCCTCGGCGGTCGCCATCTTCGCTCGGGTTTACATGTGACGTAGTGACATCACGTGACTACAGATTATAAATAAACCTACGTAACGTAAGCACATGTTTTATAACAATTTTAAATATTGAAAAAAATATAAAAGTGAATGAATGTGCTGGGTTAGAAAGGTTTAAAGTTTTTCAAATTAAAAACATTGCATTGGCATGTTTTGACATGACAGGAACTAGAAGACTTTACTTCCGCTTCGACGGTTTTTTTTTAACCAACATTTAACATTTAGCGACGAAGGATTACAAACAGCGGTCACGCCTTCACAACGCTTTGCTAAAATCTTTAAGCTGGTGCAGGACTCTGTTGTAACATGTCTTCAGCCTTTTGTCAAAACCAGCCCCCACTGTCGTACACATCTGCGTCGGTGTATTCACTGTATCACACTTGACTGAACATCTAAGAATATATATTTATAAGTACCATGGTGCAGACATCCCGTGTAACTTGTGCTATATTTATTTAAACGTTTAAGGCATGAAACTTCCTTTGCTTAGGTCAACTTTGTGCTTCCTGTATTTATTTGTATTGAGTGATGTGAGGCAGTGAGTTGAATACAGTCAGCTTGATTGGCTGAGGTCTACAGTAAGCCACATATGTCCACTCCTCTATTGCCCATTTCCACTGGTTTGACTGGAAATGTGCTATGAGACAGTTAGCTATAGTTTACTGCACTCAATGATTTCCAATGATTTCTCAGAAATGCTGTAGTGGTATAATATTGTGTTTATACAAAAGAAAAAAAATATGCACACACAAAGCTGCAAATTTATTTGTGCAATAACATGTATCAAACAGTCCGATACATAGATCGTTCCCTCTTCCAGCAGTAAATCTTTGAGCTGGATGAATGAGCAGTGGCAGCCTACTAGGCGGAGCCAAAGGCCTCTGATGGAGCTGTGGGTCACGTGTCCATCTTTTTCTTCGATTTCTGTCCAAAGACAAAAAAAGGACATGTTTTTATTTATTTAAAAATCAAGCGCTAGAAAATCTTCACATCTCTGATGCATAACATTGCTCTAGCTGAGAAGGGGATCATTTATACGATTACTACGATGCAAAACTTTCTGACCTCTGACTTCTGTTGAGCCTAACGTGGCTGATGTGCTCCCTGGGTTCTGGACCTCTGCACCTTCCTCATCTTGTGGTATGTGGTTTATCATCAGGGATAGCAGTCCCTAGAAAACATACACAAAAAGCTTGCTAAAAAATCCTGGTTGATCGATTTTTAAACATTAACCATCAAACCCTGCACATGACTGTAGAGAGTCATATGATGCTCATTTATAAAATCCACAAAATCCATAACTTTATATATTTTTATTCTGAAAACCTTATAAGACTTACTTGCTCTGGGAAGTTTAGAACTAGGACATCCAACATTGTTTTAAAACATGAACTAACCTAAAAATAAAATCATATTTAGTCTTTCTGAGTATTACTTGATAATGAACAATCTTACCAATCAGTCCTTTCCATTTCTGTGAACCCATTCACATGGATGGGGGCAGCTCCTTTACTGCCTGGTGACAAGAGGCAACATATAAAGACACAGTTCTGACATGAGAGGCTGTTATGGAAACTCCAGCATTTGCAGGCACTTTAATCAAAATGTGTGTGTGTCAGTAACTAGCTCTACATCCCCGGCTTACCTGTGAAACATAAATAATGTAGCCCTTCTACTGCCATCTTGTGGCGGTAAAGGGTAAAGACATCAGCTTAGAGGTGCAGCCTTTGTTTAAACACAGGCCAGTTTCACAGATGTTTAAGTTAGCAGCTCAAAATCGGATTGAATAAATATGAAAAGTAACTTCTCTAGTAAATATGGACCCCCTAATTAACACCTATTCAGCTCTGAAAATAGCCAATAAGTGCAGCATCGGCTAAGGAAACAATGCACCACTGGTAGTGCTGGTGCAGAGCTGCTACCTCTAGTGGCACAGAAGGGGAAAAATGTCCATTCCGCACCCACCGCCCAAATTAAAGAACCCGTGGAGACAACAGACGATTTTGGTGCAGTAAGCTGAGACAGGCAGCAGGTGTTTTGCATAGTTTTAGGTTTACAAGTGCTTACCAAATTCCTTGGCTGGCTGCCCTTCTGGCTGTTTAATCAGTCTAAATTTGTGCACGACTCCCATTGACCTTTAGATGAAAATTGGCATTATAATTGTGAATGAAGTACCCATTATTCCCATGTTCTTTAAACCCCAGAAATCTGCCGGTTTGAATTATTATTTTCAATGATTCTTCAATCAATTTTTGATTCTTCTTGAAAGCCTGGAAAAGAGGAGAGAGAAACCCCCCCCCCCAAAAAAAAAAAAAAACCCAAGGGAAAAAAACGTTGATTCACAGCAGAGTATATTAGCAAAGAGATGATAAAAGCATAGTGTATAATTAGGGCTAGTGTTTCTCCAGTGATTACAATTAGCTAGAGAAGAGGAGACAGTACTCTGTGCAAGGCTAGCTCACCCTTGAGTACCGTTCAGGTGAGTTCCTCATTCTAGCGGTGCCGCTCTCAATGCTTCTCCACCTAGGCAGGTTGGAATAAGAGGACAGACACATGAAACAAAATACAATGACACCATGGCACCAAAACGCAATGGCTAAAAGAAACAAAACAAAACCAAAAAGTTTTCTAAACAGATCCTGACAGGTGATCGCTTGCTATAGCTGGAGGTGCGTTTTAGGAAATTTGGATGGTCAGATCCTTGGGGTCTTCAAAAGGAGAGAAAAAGACGATGAGATGATGTGCAGATTTTGGAAATTAGCTGCAGAAAATCCATTCCAAGTCAAATGTGTTGCTCTAAATGTTGTAAGGAGGTCAGTATCAGGGCCACAGACGTGTGAATAATTTTTTTTTACTATTATCCAAAACTGTCCTTGTCTTGAAAGTTTGTGGATACAGAGCTTAAGTTTCATAAGATGTCAGCCCTAAAGAAGAGGGGAAAAAACAAAACACTGGAGCTGGGAGGTGCTGGAAATTTACACCTGTGAAAATCCTGTGTTAGCTACCCACTGCTCTCCAATTATCAAATGTTATGCCGGTCAATAAAAAGCTCAATAAGCATTTGCATTATTTTCACAAGAGTAAATTGCTTTCCATCTTCTCGTCATAAACGACAGCATTAAGTGACGGTAGGCTGGTTGTTCACCGTTTGACAGACAGGAACAATCTTGGGTAATTGCAAGGAGTCCAATTTACAGTGCGGTCCCTTTAATTGTTGCTGCAACATTCACAACATGAATTCAGTGTGCAGGATATTACTGCAGTCTGAAGAATAAGGAATACAAAAAATAAATCCTGCTTTTGTATCATCCAGACACCTTTCGAATTCTCGTCCCGTTGTCTGACTGCGCAATTTCAGTCGTTTGTGATTAACCTTTGAGAGAGAAAGAATTTGACTTGGAAAAGAAGATATTCATCCAAATGTGAGAATTGAGATTAAAAATCAAATCAAATACTGAATGACAACACGGAATTTGAGTATCTGACAATTGACTGATGCTCAGCTGAGTTTTATTGAAACGGAACAAACGTAAAAGTTATAAATACAAAGAACATCAGAGAACAAACTGCTATGGCTCTTAAGGTAAGCCAAACCAAATTCTACTGGGCAAGTTTAAAGAAAACATAGGAAGTTATGGTATCAGTTTAAAAAACAAAAAAACACAATTTGTCTATATCTAGAAACGCTAGGCATACACTTTAAACATTACAAAACTTTGATTTTTCTTCCTTCCTGTGGATTCTTTTCTCCACCGTTGCAAAAACAAAAAGAAAAAAAATGACGTAAGAAAGCTCTACCATATGCATTTATTTACAAGCAAGTCCCTAAAGCAACTATGAGAAACCACAAATAAAGGGAGTACAAGAAGGAGAAGGGAGGAAAGGGGCATGGACAGAAACTTCCTGCAAGGCAATATTCATTATTTAATGTTGTCTCAGACTTTTTGAGAAGGAAATGTCCACTTTTTTCTTTTTGTGTGTGTAAATGTTCATTGTTGGCTTTAAAAAGAACCAGGAACAAAAAGTAACAATAAAAGCGTTTTTTGAGTGTTTTTCTTTTTTTAAAGACACGTGTCCCAATGTAACCGTAGGAGTAGGAAATGATTCACCACAACGGTTACGTTCATTTCTTCAGCCAAAAGGCTTTCCAGCCAATCATCTTGAGCCAATTCTGGGGTCTGTCCATTTATTTTTATTTTTTCTGAGATATATACAGATTTTTTTTTCCACGAAGGATGAAGAATAAAAAGTCAATCAAAAACATTGTGGCCAATCTCCTGTTTGTTTGTTTTTTTTTTTATTGTTGTTTTTCTCTTTTTTTTTCTCTTTTCTTTTTTGTTGCGAAATACCTTTTGGTGCATCTACTTCCACTGCTGCCCATAAGAATCCTGTGAAAACTCCATGGTGTCATTACTGTAACCATAGTTACCAGAATAGTCGGCCCCTTGCTGCAGGGGCTGCTGGGCGATGGGCTGGGACCCCCAGTTCTGTTGGTTGTTGGTCTGGCGGCGCTTGGAGTCAGGCTGGTTAAACACGTCTGCCTTCCTCTTTCCGCCGACGTTGCCGCCGCGATTGCCCCTGGCCCCGCGAGGACCGCGGCCCCTCTGAGGCTGGAAAGGGGCACCTCGCCCTCCTCGGCCACCCCTCGGACCACCGAGGGGTGGCCCTCTTTGGGCGTAGCCACCCCGGCCTCGTGTCGGTGGAGCTCCACGAGCCCTGGGAGGAGGTGGACCTCCCCTGCTGGGACGAGTACCACGGCCCCTCATGGTGTACACGTCTTCGTAGCCGTAGTAAGGGTCTTCATAGCCACCACGGTAGTCATGATAGTCGTAGCCATAGTAGTCATCATAGTAGTCATCATAGCCATAGTAATCTGGTGGATAGGCATAGCCCCCTCGGCCACCACGGCCCCTGCCTCGGCCCGGCGGAGGCATGCGTGGAGGTGGGTAGTAGTAGTAGTCATCATACCTGGAAAGAAGAAG